CGATCTCCTACGGGAAACTTCAGCTTCATGTGATAGGTCGACATAACTGCTTGAAATGCGTTGAGCGCTGGTCTCCCCAGAATCACGTTATAAGCAGACTCGACATCAACCACAACAAATCTCACCATTTTGACTTTCCTCAAGTCACCTTCCCCTAGGACGACAGCGAGCATGGTTTCTCCTAGGCGAGCGACTTCTGAGCCGTTGAATCCGAAGAGTGATGTATGTAGGGGCGTAAGTTCAATGTCAAGCTCCATCCTTCTGAGGCATTCATAGAAAATTACGTTCACGGAACTCCCGGTGTCGACAAACACCCTTTGCACCTCGTACCCCGATATCTGCGCCGTTATCATCAGGGCATCGTTATGCGGCCTCTCGACTTCACCCACATCTGCCGGTCCAAAGTTCATTACTGGTCCACTTTCCTCGACCTGCTGCACCTCGACTTTCGCATATCGGCCTCGAGCATAGGCCTTTCTTGCCCGATTGGAGTCTCCATCAGTCGACCCTCCGAAAATCATGTTAATAACTCCTCTTTTTGGTGGGAGTTCCTCCTTTTCTGGCGATCTCGCCTTCTTGCGAGGACTCTTACTTCGTTCTCGTCTCCTGCTCGTCCTCTCTCGGTCCTTGTATATAAACTCCTTCAAGTGGCCCGCCTTTATCAACCTCTCAATTTCGTCTTTCAAGTGGCGACAGTCGTCAGTGTTGTGCCCATAGTCTTTGTGGAATCGACAGTATAGGTTGCTTTTGGGCTTCAGAGGTCCATCTTTCCTCGTCCGCGGCCATCTTACCACATCATCGCGGATCTCCCTCTCCATAACTTCCAGAATTCTTGCATGGGGAGCCGACAAAGGTGTGTATTGAGTTGGTCTCCATCCCCTAGACCTGCCTTCAACCCTATCAGCCCTCGGGGATCCCCTTCTATCTCCTGTCGACTGGCCTTTCTTTTCCTTCTTGTCGTCTCGACTGTCGGTTGGAGACATCTTCACGCTTTGCAAGTAGTCGGCTTCGGCCTCCTCGACATTCATGTATTTGGCACATCTGCCCAGCACATCGTCGAAACTCCTACCAGGTCGTTTGGCCAAGGAGTTCTTACACAATCCTGGTAGCAGTCCTATCGTTAATCCCCCCGATTTGATTTCCTCTGTCGCCGTTGAGCATTCGACGCACGCCTTTGTAAATCTTGCCACATATTCTCGCAGCGACTCGCCTTTCTTCTGCTGCATGCTAATCAACGAGAGGTAAGATTTCTCTTGCACCCTCACACTCGCAAATTGGTTAAGAAAACTCGAGCTGAATCCATCAAAATCCCGAATCGACCCTGCTGGAAGTTGATGAAACCAGTCTTGGGCCGACCCTGTCAAAGTCGTCAGGAAGGCGCAACATTGTACTGGGTCGCTGTAACGATGAAGCACGACCATATTTTCGAAACTCCTCAAATGTCGAGATGGATCTGTGGTACCGTCATACCATATGTTCAGCTCCCTGAAGCCTTTGGGTAAGTCGGCTCTTAAGATCTGCTGTGAGAATGGGTGTTCTTTTGCTCCTCTACTCTTCCTCCCGTCGACTCGAGCTTGCAAGTCGCGAACCTGTGCCAGCAGTTGCTCTAATGTCTCATCCCTCGCCTGTGGATTAACAGTTCGAATGGAGGATTCCTCTTCGTCTACCCTTCTGTTCTGTTGTACATTCGACTGGGCTTGTTGCTCGCCGCGCGGCTGCTGTTCGACTCGAGGGGGGTACTCGACGCGGGGTTGGTGCTCGACTCGAGGTGGGCACTCGACTCGAGGCTGCTGTCCTACAGGCGCTATCTGCTTCATCTGGGCAGCCACGGCTTCAGCAATCATCTTTTGCATCTCACTCCTCGTCATGGTCAGAGTCTGTTCCTCAACGCGGGGTTGTGTCTGTTCTGGTACCTCCTGTATCTGTTTTCCCTCGCGTCGAGAGACCTCCGTTGGCTCCTTCTCTCCATCTGGGTTAGGGTTTTGACTTGTTCCTGCTTGGGTCAACACTTGCAGCTTCACTCCGGTTGGAGTTACAGGTGTGTCTCCGCCCAACGTCAATCCTGGTGGCGGAAGTCCTCCGAAAGGTGGCATTCCCATCATCTGCATCACGGGGTGTTTGGTGGTGGAGAACTGCGGGGTGGCCTCTTGTCCATCCACGTCCCTCTAAACTCCTCGCTCAAGTTCCTCTGCAAGCCTTCCTTCTCCGCCATCAGCAAACAGATCGGAGCTGGGTGTGAAGCTCTTCCTTCCTTTAAGAACTCCCCACAGACGGCGCCAAATGATGGGTCTACTTCCAGATCTGGAGTAAACCGGTTGTTGTGAGCTCAGATCTGCTTGAACCGCTTCCCAACCGTTGCTAGACCGCGAGATTCCTGCAAAAACTCAACGCCGGAGGTGTTTCCGGCGTAGAGCCTCCGACGCTCAAGTCAGTATGAGAGTGATGAAGAGGTGTTGCGCAGCAGCTATGGGGTAGAGTGGGAATGAATGAGAGTTAGGGTTTTGGGTTACCTCATCTCCTTTATATAGGAGGGAATACTTACTTGAAATGCCCAAAATGCCCCAGTCGGTGGACCTAGAAAGTCCATAATGCCCTGGTCGATTCGTCTCCCCTTGTTGCTGAGTCATCGCAAGATTCCTTCTTATCCTTGGTAATGTGTAGAGCTTTGGATATGTTGCAAGTGTGGTGAATCGTCTTCGCCACTGTGATCCTCGAGATGTACAGAATCGACCTCGAGAACTAGGAGGTCGACTTACAAATATGTGCGGTTTCGGAGGCTACACCTGGTTTAATTCCCTGCGGTGGTCGTCTCTTAGAGTCGTCATGAGGAAGTCGACTAGTGGAAGTCGACCTAGAGTATCTGGATGGTTGGGAGTTGCATTCTTGACGTCCTTCTAGTATGAAGTCGACTAGCAAAAGTCGATAGTTAGAGGTCGACTTGTGGGAGTCGACTAGACCAATTTCTGCCTCTTCTTGATTATTTTCGGTATAATCGACTTTAGGGAAGTCGACTTGAGCATGTCGACGAGTCACCTCGATATGTGAGTCGTTCAAATGGCTCACCGGTCGAGTAGAAAGCCTCTTAGACCGGGTTATCCTTAT